CAGCTACTATAACACTGATAACAACGTAGTTATGTAATGGGTGTTATTACATTGATAACAGGGCAGTTATGTAATGTATGTAATTACACTGATAACAGGGCAGTCATGTAATGTGTGTAATTACACTGATAACAGGGCAGTCATGTAATGTGTGTAATTACACTGATAACAGGGCAGTCATGTAATGTGTGTAATTACACTGATGACAGGGCAGTTATGTAATGTGTGTAATTACACTGATAACAGGGCAGTCATGTAATGTGTGTAATTACACTGATAACAGGGCAGTGATGTAATGTGTGTAATTACACTGATAACAGGGCAGTCATGTAATGTGTGTAATTACACTGATGACAGGGCAGTTATGTAATGTGTGTAGTTACACTGATAACAGGGCAGTCATGTAATGTGTGTAATTACACTGATAACAGGGCAGTCATGTAATGTGTGTAATTACACTGATAACAGGGCAGTCATGTAATGTGTGTAATTACACTGATAACAGGGCAGTCATGTAATGTGTGTAATTACACTGATAACAGGGCAGTCATGTAATGTGTGTAATTACACTGATAACAGGGCAGTCATGTAATGTGTGTAATTACACTGATAACAGGGCAGTAATGTAATGTGTGTAATTACACTGATAACAGGGCAGTTATGTAATGTGTGTAATTACACTGATAACAGGGCAGTCATGTAATGTGTGTTATTACACTGATAACAGGGCAGTCATGTAATGTGTGTAATTACACTGATAACAGGGCAGTCATGTAATGTGTGTAATTACACTGATAACAGGGCAGTCATGTAATGTGTGTAATTACACTGATAACAGGGCAGTCATGTAATGTGTGTTATTACACTGATAACAGGGCAGTTATGTAATGTGTGTAGTTACACTGATAACAGGGCAGTTATGTAATGTGTGTAATTACACTGATAACAGGGCAGTCATGTAATGTGTGTAATTACACTGATAACAGGGCAGCTATGTAATGTGTGTTATTACACTGATAACAGGGCAGTCATGTAATGTGTGTAATTACACTGATAACAGGGCAGCTATGTAATGTGTATAATTACACTGATAACAGGGCAGTCATGTAATGTGTGTAATTACACTGATTACAGGACAGTTATGTAATGTGTAATTACACTGATAACAGGGCAGTCATGTAATGTGTGTTATTACACTGATTACAGGACAGTCATGTAATGTGTGTTATTACACTGATAACAGGGCAGTTATGTAATGTGTGTAATTACACTGATAACAGGGCAGTTATGTAATGTGTAATTACACTGATAACAGGGCAGCTATGTAATGTGTGTAATTACACTGATAACAGGGCAGTCATGTAATGTGTAATTACACTGATAACAGGGCAGTCATGTAATGTGTGTAATTACACTGATAACAGGGCAGTCATGTAATGTGTGTAATTACACTGATAACAGGGCAGTCATGTAATGTGTGTAATTACACTGATAACAGGGCAGTCATGTAATGTGTGTAATTACACTGATAACAGGGCAGTCATGTAATGTGTGTAATTACACTGATAACAGGGCAGCTATGTAATGTGTGTAATTACACTGATAACAGGGCAGTTATGTAATGTGTGTAATTACACTGATAACAGGGCAGTAATGTAATGTGTGTAATTACACTGATAACAGGGCAGTTATGTAATGTGTGTAATTACACTGATAACAGGGCAGTCATGTAATGTGTGTAATTACACTGATAACAGGGCAGTCATGTAATGTGTGTAATTACACTGATAACAGGGCAGTCATGTAATGTGTGTAATTACACTGATAACAGGGCAGTTATGTAATGTGTGTAATTACACTGATAACAGGGCAGTCATGTAATGTGTGTAATTACACTGATAACAGGGCAGTCATGTAATGTGTGTAATTACACTGATAACAGGGCAGTTATGTAATGTGTGTAATTACACTGATAACAGGGCAGCTATGTAATGTGTGTAATTACACTGATAACAGGGCAGTTATGTAATGTGTGTAATTACACTGATAACAGGGAAGTAATGTAATGTGTGTAATTACACTGATAACACAAGAATGTAATTATATTCTTTTACAAAATAAAAAAAAGCTTTGGGAACATTGTGGATATATACATAGGTAACACAAACACCAATCTTTTATTGTGTATTTATTATTATTATTATTTATTGTTGACCCACATATAATTGTCTGTTGCCAATTACTACAACTATAACAATACAATCATACAATATGTGAAAATGGGAATTGTTGCCTCTCTAGTTAATTTGTACAATGATTACAAAACTCACCAGATACAGGTATTTTGATTTTCAGCAAAGAACAATAAAGCACATTAATCAAATGTTGACAATGAATCTAATGAGAGAAATAAGTATGTTTCCTTTCTCTGTTGGTAATGGAGCTGATTGCATTGTAAACTCATTTAGTAATTATCGTTAATCATTTATGATGTAAGATACAAACTTAAACAATTAATCTAACTATTGTGAGTTAAACTGGTAAAACGTCTGTAAAAAGAAAAGCTAAACGCAGCAAAAAATTATATATATAACCCTCAAAATCAGACGGCCAAAGTGAATTCCCTCAATTGAATTAAGTTTCTATGTAAAATGTGATGACATTTGAAACTGTGGTAACAGAAAACATTATTTGGATTTGAAATAAACCTGGACATTTTCATCCCTGTTGTATGGGGCTTGGTAAACCATACACATGAAACACTACAGGATTTACTGATTTATACCTCTTTCTACAAGAATGATTTTCACTATTTTGAGGTACATTAGCGTGATGGCAAAAAACAATAATGCATGAAGTAATGATACACAAGTGAGTTAGATGTCTGTTACATCTAGATTGCCAAATTTTAATTCATTAAAACATGATTCTGTAATTTTGAAGGAAAATTTCAATTTTTTTACCTTTGAAATTGCATTAATATTTTATTGGCTGGGAAGGTAGATTAGAGAAGTAAACAGTTATACAAGTGTTGATTTAGTGCAGTTTAGTGCAATTATAGGAGACATGGGCTAATTTGGTAGAATATGGAAGGTTTTTCCGAGTATAAAGTCTCAGGACTATACAATTTAAAAATAATACTCCAACATTCACTCCATTCATTTAAACATCTAAATCACAAAAGACATCAGTCACACAGAAAAAACCCACCTTACTTCTTTGTCAAATGCAGGTGCATACAAACATCCTTCCACACAACATTAATCTGCTTACAAAAATAACTTCCTCATACATAACAGCACTGCAATCTTAGTGACTAGGCAATTTTGTAATTTTTGTCTTAATTTAGAGCACCTCCTCGCAAACATCATTGTGACAAATTTTAAATTGTTCATCTGGTATGTTAACTTCTCCTAATAATAAAATTACTTCGAAAACAAACACTTAGAAAATAAATGTAATATTTGTTCAACAAAGGTTTGAAGAACCTACAATAAAATCCACTGTAAAAACAAGTAAACAATTCTTAGTGGAAACTTGAACTATTCTTCCCATCCCTTATCAAATTCTTAACTAATTTTTACAGAAAATCCCAAAATAGTTCTACAAAGTGAAATGTCTTCATGAAATGTGGTACAGATCACAAAACGTTTTACCAGGTAATTCCTGGAAAACTCAGTCCTCAAGCATTAGGAATTGCTGGCAAACTCAGTCCCCAAGCATTAACAATTGTTGGCAAACTCAGTCTCAAAGCATTAGGAATTGCTGGCAAACTCAGTCCCCAAGCATTAGGAATTGCTGGCAAACTCAGTCCCCAAGCATTAGGAATTGTTGGCAAACTCATTCCCCAAGCATTAACAATTGTTGGCAAACTCAGTCCCCAAGCATTAGGAATTGCTGGCAAACTCAGTCCCCAAGCATTAGGAATTGCTGGCAAACTCAGTCCCCAAGCTGGCAAACTCAGTCCCCAAGCATTAGGAATTGCTGGCAAACTCAGTCCCCAAGCATTAGGAATTGCTGGCAAACTCAGTCCCCAAGCATTAGGAATTGTTGGCAAACTCAGTCCCCAAGCATTAACAATTGTTGGCAAACTCAGCCCCCAAGCATTAGGAACTGCTGGCAAACTCAGTCCTCAAGCATTAGGAATTGCTGGCAAACTCAGTCCTCAAGCATTAGAAATTGCTGGCAAACTCAGTCCCCAAGCATTAGGAATTGTTGGCAAACTCATTCCCCAAGCATTAACAATTGTTGGCAAACTCAATTTCCAAGCATTAATATTTGTTTGCAAACTCAGTCCCCAAGCATTAACAATTTAAAGTTGGCAAACTCAATTTCCAAGCATTAATATTTGTTGGCAAACTCAGTCCCAAAGCATTAAATATTCAGGAATTGCTGACACACCAGTGTCCAAGCATTAACAATTGTTGGCAAACTCATTCCCCAAGCATTAACAATTGTTGGCAAACTCAATTTCCAGTAGCATTAATATTTGTTGGCATTAACAACTCATAACAAACACAAAAAGCATTAACAATTTAAAGATTTAAAAAAAAAATAACAAATGACAAATCCTATTGAAATAGTTAATACTCTTTAAACAAAAAGGAATGTTTTTTTTATAAATGTTTGTTTGTTAATTAGTTTAAAGCCAGGATCAAAGACACAACTACATCAGCACCGACCGGTCAGCTTCCTGAGAAACACACACCGTCACATGTGAGAAGTATCTAACCATTCAACTCAGATCTTCATCTGAGGTTACATAGGCCAACGCTGTAACGACCGAGATAACACAGCCAATATTTCTCATTAAAAACAATCAAAAACAATTCTAGAACATTTACTTTTGGAGTAAAAAATGCCAATGTAGTCAACAAAAGTAAAAATTAACTTTAATTAAAATACAAAACTATGTAATCAGTTCTGATAATTTGACATCTATATATGAAAAGACAATGGAACATAACAGAAAAATACAGTTATACAATTTCTTCCAAAAAAACAGGTTTGTTTACATTAAAATGTATTTCAAACTTATCGCTGGTAATAATTCTGAGATAATTATAATAATAGCAATTATAAAAAAAAGAAAAGAAAAAAAAGAATAGATTATCTTAACATAATACAATTAACTGTATAACAATGATTTACAATTAAGATTAACTTTGGTCCAGGCTGGCTAAATACAATCTTGACATGTAAGGAAGCCCATATGAGCCGAGATAAAGCACACCATTCTTGTCTTCCACCTCACTCACTGATGGAATAACCTCTCCTGTAGGGTCATGCAGACTTCGCAGTATCTTTCCATCAGCACTGACTTCAATCACCAAGCCATACTTGGGTATAAATCTCATTATCATTTCTTGGGAGAGCAGCTGAAAAAAATGATAACAATCATCAAATGTGTACAAATTCCAACACACCATGAATATTGTTTTAATTGAGAACATGATGTAATTGTACAATTGTATGTGGGAATGAATTCCTAAAGAATTACTCTTCCAAAATGTAGATCACAAATGAAGCAAAGTAAACAAAATGTGTAGATATATTCTGTAAGAGTTATCTTTCCTTTAACATGTCCATAGAGAGCTGAATTATTTTCCTGAAATGTCACAAACTATACTGATAGGACATTCCCACTATTTCCACCAACTTTATTTAATCATATGATTACTACTGTAATAGGACCTGAACCAATCAATGATTAATAAACAACCCAGGCAGACTTTAGCAGAGGATCATGAACCATAGATGTTTAATATCACATGAATAGTTACTGTACTCTTAATCAAAGTCGCTATCTGTGTATGGTGTTTTTATCTCTACCAACATTAATAAATGTAATAATAAGACATTAACATTCTTTACACTAGTCCATCTGTAAAACATTCCTTTTACTGTGTATCAATATAGAAATTCCATTGGCTTTAATGGAGAATATAAATGCCATCAGGATCACAAGAGTGTTTTACAGAGAAATTTGACCTAATGTAATTTTCTTGACCATAATCATTGCTAACCTCTGTCAGTTATGCATGTGCTGATACACAGGAGCAACAACCCCTAAAACCACCCCCTAACGATACTTACCTTTGTGATGAGTGTTCTTAGCCAGGGTCTCTGTGATGCATAATCTATCAAGCTAAATTTCCCCCCGCGCCGGGCTGCTGCCATACCTATCCAGAACCCACCTCTGCTACTCGGACGAATATTGTCTGGTAGACCAGGCAAATTGTCCATAAACACACTTATCTCCCCTGATCTTGACCCCGTCAAATAATATCTGCAAAAACAACAAAATATTAAAGGCTATTAAGTGTTTTTATTCCTTGTTTTATTTCAATCAAATCATGAAACTAGTTATAAATGTCAACTATAAATATAACTGTTTATTTTAAGGGAAAGATTTTCACAGGTATAAAACTTCAAACAAATGCATAATTTTCAGGACCTCTTTCTAATTAACTATGTATACTTTTAAACTTCACTTTCTTATGGACTTTAATGGTTTTTTGATATTATAAACAATTCATAAGATTAACTCTTCATCATGTCCGAAATTGTATGGGTTGAAGCAAACTGATGGTAATCCTTGGATTATTGAAGATAAATGCAGAGGGGATTTACAAGTATGGTAATACTGACTGCTACATGGAAATGTTTTTAACAGTGTCAACACTGAAATAACGAAGATTTCACGAAAATCATTCCAACATAACTATGTGAGCATGGCAGATATAGTGAAATCAAAAAGGGAGTGTTTGCTGAATCTGTCACTACAGTAAACAGACAGAAACACTTTTTTTAAAATTCAACTTTTCCTTAACTTATTACTACAGTAAACAGCCATAAACACTTTCTTTAAATTCAACTTTTCCTTAACTTATTACTACAGTAAACAGCCATAAACACTTTCTTTAAATTCAACTTTTCCTTAATTTATCGCTACAGTAAACGGACAGAAACACTTTCTTTAAAATTCAACTTTTCCTTAACTTATCACTACAGTAAACTGACAGAAACACTTTCTTTAAAATTCAACTTTCCTTTACTTATCACTACAGTAAACTGGCGGAAAAACTTTCTTTAAAATTCAACTTTTCCTTAACTTATCACTACGGTAAACTGACAGTAAAACTTACTTTAAAATTCTTGCTTTAGTTGTCTCACAGATCAACAGGAAATCTTCATCCTTTGACAACTGTATACCATTTGGGAAGGCCATGGTACTGGCAATCCTCGCTGTGGTGTTAGTCTTTGGGTCATGTTCCAGTAGCCTAAATATAAGCATTATTATGACATTCTGGCCAGCAAAATAAGAAATTTTCAATACTATATCCAGCACTCATAATTATTTGGAAACATTTCAATGTTTAGAATTTTCAATACTTTCTCCAGCACTAATTATATAGTTGGACAAACAATAATTATAAAATATCCAGTGACTACATTGCTTTATTTGTAAAGCAACAGCACTACCACAATACCACAACACTAACAACAATGCTGCAGCGTAAATACACCAATAACAAGAGACCCAGAGTGATCTTAGCACCCACCATTGTTTGCTGTTTATTTGCTCTTTGAAAGTTGGATCTTTTGGTCTTAAAAATAAGACATTTGAACATTCCTTTGCAGAAATAGCAATGATAATCTTTACCTGCCAAATCTAAAATGGTCATCTGGAAGTCATTTTGTTTCTGCTGATCAGTCCCAAAATGAAACAGGCACAAGCAGAGACCAAACGGTACCTATGTAGGATATTTGTGAGAGATCCGTCTCAAACTTTTCAAGAAATAGCAATAACAACTTCATTGAAAAAAACAAGATGGCTGCCTATCAGCCATTTTGTTTGTTTATCAGTCCCAAATTGAACAGGCACAACTAGGGACCAAGGGGAACCTACATATGCAATTTGAGAAAGATCCATCCAGTACTTCTCAAGAAATAGTGATAACAATTTTTTTTATGAATGGACGGATGATGGTAATCATAGTCACATGAGTGCCACTGACAATGCCACAAGCATGAAATTCATGGTAGTTGCCTCCCTGTACCTGTACACAATTAACAGTGTTATACACTGGATAAGTCTCACAGTTGCTATACAACATTAGCTATGTGTACCCTTCTCTTACTGCAGTCTGCAAACACATGTATGCAGTGCTTCATCAATATCAATTAGGCCCTGCCTAAAAGGGAGCACAAGCTCATCAACAAGATGCACATTTTGAACTGTCTTATGTATGGATACACTAGCATGAGTTTTTAATTTGCTTAAATTTTAACAAGACACACACTGACGCATCCACATGTACACTTACAAAAAGACTGACTGTGCCATAGGAATTTTATATCAATACCACTCTTAATAAGCTTATCTATAGTGCAATAGCTGTTATTTCTTCAAAGATTTCAGAGTACATGTCACTCCTGTTGACTGATTGATTTCCGTGGCTTAGCTCCTTGTTCTGGTCCAGCCACCTGTAATTATATCCTACAGGAAGTCCATGTGATAGGAATGTCAGAATCACATTTTACAGGGATGAAACCATTACATGGTTCAGTATGACAATGTCTACTTTCTCTTTCCATTACATATATTGTCTCCCTACCTGCCACTTCTGTCTGCTTCCAGAACAAGGTAACGATTGTGGCGCCGATCCCACTTTGTGCTGGAGTCTGTCATGTAAATGAGTCCATTGCTGGCAACTGCCACATCATTGAGGAAGCGGATCTTATCTCCACCAATAGAGAAAGTGGATGGCCAAAGTGCAAACACATCACCTGGTTATTCAACAAATTGAAGCAATAAAAATGACAGTAAAAACTGTTGCTTGATCAACAGGAGCTTAGTGATGCCTAAACTACATTAGATCTAACATATGTTATACTATGAATGATTTCAGCACTAATAACTACGTAGCACTTATTGCATTCAATTCACAAAAAGCCAAAATCAAAACATCAAAATATCAACAATTCTATGAACTGATTTTAGGATAAATATGCATGTACACCATTTTATCTGAATCTTATACAAAATGGGAATCTTTGATGTTAGCACAGACAAGATATCTCACAAATAAGTAATTTTGTGATCAGACACCGTACTGGTCATAGATTTTGTATCTTTGAATTTAGCACAGACAAGACATCACACAAATAAGTAATTTTGTGATCAGACACCGTACTGGTCATAGATTTTGTATCTTTGAATTTAGCACAGACAAGACATCACACAAATAAGTAATTTTGTGATCAGACACCGTACTGGTCATAGATTTTGTATCTTTGAATTTAGCACAGACAAGACTTCACAAAAATAAGTAGTTTTGTGATTAGACACCTTACTGGTCATAGATTTCGTTGTGCCGTTATATGAATACATATATGAGCATGATCACATTTATCATATACAGTTCAGTATCCTTTTTCTATAATTGACAGAATGCAATGAAAATCTTATAAACATATTTCACCTGTGGCTACATTAACTCTGAACAGCCCTAAGTAAGCATCTGCTACAATCAAGTATCCCTCTTTATCTAACCGCATTCCCAACGGGCGACCACATGTTGGTTCCGACTCAAATGTACCTAGTATAAAATAAATTAATATGCTGCAATACACAGTAACTTCCAAGTAAAGACATTAAAAGTGATGACAGATAAAATTCTCTAACTTGTGAAACATGGATGTAGTATCGTAACAAATTTGTTCACTGGCTCTGACTTTATCATAAAAATTATGTTATTATCAGTACACTAACATACATTTCAGTGTAAATTTTTAACCTGCATAGATATCCTATAATCAAACAGCAGATACATCATTCCTTTTGATTCAGTTTTCCACTTAACATATTAATTTCTATATTAATTGGCGATCCTTTGATTTCTCTTTCCCTAATAAGTGACGTAATACTTACCACATGGTTCGACGCCCAGTTTTGCCAGGACAGTTATCTCCCCTTTATGTATATGTAATATTTTCCCATCTGCAGTACCTGTATATGTGTGTTCTACAGACAAAAGTAATTAAAAAAAAAAGATTTAAATAGCATTCATCTTATAATTTAAGTTTTTAAAATGCACTTGATATATGGAACATCGTTTCAACAAATACAATGTATTACGGTAAATGTACACCATGTAGGTATGGCATTACACAATCAAATAATATTTTAGCGAATCACTTCAAAAAATAGAAGAAAATGATTGAACGGTGTTCAGAAGCTCTCTAGAAAATGACGCCAAAGACATATGGTTCCCTCCACTTTTTGATAGTTTTACAAAGCAAAGTTTTTTTGTTGCTGTAGGTGACTAATAATATAACAAATAGAAACTCAATTGGTGTTCCACTTAAATACCAAATATATTTACAAATAATTATGGCACAGCTGTTTGTACTCAGGGTCATTACATGTGTTTTCACATACTTATGAATATGATATCGATGGTACCAATCATTGTTTTATATGTTTTAAAACTAATTGTATTGGTTCACATTTACGATTATTATTATTTGGTACATGTGTACTTGTACACTGCATTAGCCGATTTTCTTCTGTTTTTCTTCACTCTCTTGAAAAAAAATTTACCTGTCCTTGTACTTGTGAAATACATTTGGTGAATCAATTAAATATTCTCTGTTATTTACTGAATGGTGAAAGTCAATTTTCAAAACAGTTAACACTTTTTCAGTAAAAATGAATTTATAGATACCTCCATCCACAACAATGGACTCTGGTCCTATCAGCTGGTTTTCATATATGCGTTCTGCTTTTTGCAAGTGGTTGTTCGGCTCTAGTGGTCCCTCAAAAACAGGGGGCTCTTTGAGTCTATATAGAAAGAGATAATTAAATCCTGGATCAACATTTTTGAAACAGCAATTTAAAATATGTATAGAAAGTACTATTAGGTTTACAATGGTGATGATCCCATTAAATCATATACATTTTGTAATTATGTTTAAATTTTCAAGGACCCCATTCCAACTGTATCAATCATCCTGTTTATCAAAGTTTAAAGTCACCTTATTGTTTAATTTTCTCACTTGGCATTACCGTAGGCCTGCTTCAATTGTTTTGTCAGGTTATACAAAGAAACAAAAAACAAATGTGTGCTTCCTAATCCCCATCGACCCTCCATTTAAGTGCCTATACTTATAAGTTCTAGAATATTGAAATAGCCATCTTTCCAACAATAGGATTGGACATTAGATTGAACCTATACATACAAAGTGTATAGGAGACAATGCCTTTCTCGTTTACATACTGTGTAAAGCCAATAGAGGGCCGTGGCCTTTAACAGTCATATGACAATCGACAGATGGACAGAAAGGTTACAGAATTTTATATTTATATAAAATGAAGTATTCAGACTATCAACCATGCCCAAAACAAAAATGAAATCGCAGATAAGATGGTCATTCTGAATACAGGCCAAACAAACTATAAGAACATCTGCGCTGTTTGATTTTTGAAAATGGTAGTCTTTCCTCTACTTACAGAGAAATAGAATCAGAATCAACATAGACAATTGATATACCTAAGTAGACAACTTTACTGAACCATAATAACAAAACTGAACAAACAACCCAGTTACTTTCAATGGTCTAGTGACCACCATCTTCCCAGAAAAGTGTTGAGAGAATGTTTGACACTGGTCAGTTTAGATATATGTCAAGCATCTAAGTGAATTTGCCTCAAGGTACTAGTGCTTCTGGAGATCGTAGAGCAAAACAAGAACAAAGTCAACATGGAGATGATTTTGGAGTCATTTTTGCAAAACTGTTAAAAAAAAGAAACTAAGGTCAGTAGTAAAAGATAAAGACAGTCGGGAAACCAGACATAGATGTTTCTTTTTTTGGACTAAACATTGTGTCGAAGATGCAGAGTATATATGGTTGTTGGCTAGGCATTCTGTTGAGTTCCAGGTTATGATAGACAAGTGGCCAATGGACCTTAACAGTCATCTGACTATAAACACCTATATATAATATGGCTCAATGGACCTGAATTATTCACCTGTTCTACAGCTTACAACAAAGACTTTGCTGGTTCATAAAGTAAATATCTGCAATAATGAAATACTGTTCATCAAGCATGCTATATAGCTACTACTCAAATGCCATGACCTAAGACCTATCATTTGTTTAAAGAAAAAGAATTTCCATATATATTAGATCCTTGTGACCTTGCAAGTTGGTAAAGGTTATTAATTTGAACAGAACTGGTAGTCTGTAATACCAGCATGCTACAAGCCCATCAGCACCATGGGCCTTTTGGTTATTGTAAAATGAGTGTAAAGAGTTTAACATACATAACACATTTTACTCATCAGCACCATGGGCCTTTTGGTTATTGTAAAATGATTGTAAAGAGTTTAACATACATAACACATTTTACTCAAGTTTTATCATCTGAATATACAGTACTTGGTAGCCCTTCAACCCAGCATGTTATAGCCAAAGTATCAGCATCATGGGCCTTATGGTTATTGAGAAATTGTTTACATATTTTAACACATTTGACTCCTGTGACCTTAAATGTGGGTCAGGGTCACTCATTTGAGTCAACTTTGTAGCCTTAATCCCAACATGCTTCAAGCCCAATATCAGCACCCTGACCCTTAAGGTTATGGACAAGAATTTGCGTGAATGGAATGTTCAGGCTCATTGACGAGCAAATGATGATGGATATACACAACAGTTAGAGGTCATCTTGACCCTTCAGGCTAAAACCCTATGAGGAAATTGTAAAGAATATCAAATACATGTAAATGGACATGAATAATTTGGCCTCACGCAATATAACATATGTTCAACACAGTACCAGTATCTTTGTTATAGAGATACAGTGACAAAAACATAAAGCACTTAGATAATTTAATATGTTATTTTAAGTGTAACCATACAGGTTTTATAAAAAATAATAGTCATTAATTATCAAAAACAATGGAACAGAAGTAAAACATTCTTACTGATACACTACTGGTTCTATAGGAGCAGGAATAACAGCAATGATGATTGGAGTTAGAATTAAGGCTGCAAACACGCCAATGAGACAGGCAGGTCTGTTCCATCTGTAAAACATTTGAAAATTGTGTAACACTCTCCATGTTTAAGTGATAATTTTAGTTTTCAGAACAGACTTTGATTTTTGATACTAACTAAATCACAAACATATATGAAAAAAATTTAAACTATTTAACAAAACTATGAAAAATATTTGAATTCGGGTCAATGATATTTATATATTCAACTCGTCTTTGCTCCATTTTGAAATTATTTTTCCATGCATCCTCAAAGTAGGAATCTATATACTATATGTTATACTGATGTGGAATTACTGCACTAGGAATTAAAACCAAGACCTCTACTTTATAACCCAGTCATATACTCTTGTAGTGATGAATGAGCTAGAGAATACATGTGTGTGCATTACCCCTGAGATGCTTCTTCATGATAGGCTTCCCTGTCCAAATCGTCAGATCGCTGACCAACAAGTCTTCTGCGCCTGACACCCGACTTCTCCCCCATGATAAATCTATCAAGTCAAAATGTCACTGTACGTTCTCAGCTGTGTTAGGCCTGTTCACTGCCTTATCACCATCAGGGTCTGATTTATCTACAATCATACAACTATTGGGGGATCCATCAACAGAATGACCAAATTGATAAAACATTTTTTTAATATCATGTTGAAAGTGTACTATTAAGTCAAGGAAATGAAACGGGCTTTAAACAAGTAGAAAATGTCTGTATGTTACGAAAGCTTCCATTTCCATGCAAACTAGATTCTGATCATGTGTAGAATTCATGGTGTACATATTAATAATCCAGATCTGTCTGAAATGGTCTTAAGATATATCATTGACTGGGAACATGGTGCCAGGAGAGATGGATGGATGGATGGATGATTGGATGGATATGGACAATACCATATGCCCTAATTGGCTAGAACTTTAAATATGAGGCAAGTTTGAAGTTGATCTTTTTTTGATAAGATTGGTTTTATCATGATCACTGTTTGATCTTTATTCCTTCTTCAAAAATTCTTTTTCCCTCGTCTTTTCTATTCTTTCCTTAAATTACACAAAATTTTAAAATTGCTCAAAGGAAAATGCTATAATAATCCTTAAATGACAAATTGAAGATTGTCGCTTGTTGGCCATTTTGTTTTTCAGGTCATTTGAAAAATCAAGCAGGCACAACTAGGGACCAAAGGTAACCTACATGAAAAATTTAAGAAAGATCCATCCAGTACTTTTCAAGAAAAAGTGATAATAATATTTCAATGTCAAAATCCAAGATGGGTACTTATCAGCCATTTTGTCATTCATATCAACCTCAAAATCAAAAGGGCACAACAAGGTACTAAAGGGGACGGGTCATGAATACTGGGCTATTTGAAAAGCCCACCATCTGATAATGTAGCTGTAGATGTAGTCATACAGGTAACTCATAAACTACATTGTACTTTTTCTTTTAACAACAACAAACAAAAATTGAACATTTACATTTGCTGGCAAAAATACTTTTTGAGTTTCACATTTCCAAAAAATAAATAAGTAAATAGAAATTTAAGATAAGATTAAGTGTTTTGAGAACAATATGATTTAGTAGTGGACTAATTTTCCTATCCCTTGTAAATATTATATGCAATATACCACTGGGCTAGAGAGAACTTCTCGTTAGCTCGATCACTTGAGTGTCAGACTAGTAACCCAGAAGTCCTGGGATCAAAATCCAAGCAGAGGAATTGGAATAAATAATGACCTCTGTTACATTGGTGCCAATGTAGGAACTCAGGAATGATACTTAGCCATGCCACATCAGCATCGCTGTAACCCCTGAAATGTTGAGGACAAGTTTTTTCCTGGAGGAGGAGTCCCTGGTAAATCTAGCTGCAATATACTGCTCGACTAGAGAGAACTTTTCTTTAGCTAAATCAGTTGAGAGTCAGACTAGTACACCAGTGGTCCTGGGTTTGAATCCTTGTGGAGGCATATAAAAAATATATAAGGACCTCTGTTACAGTGATGCCTATGTAGGAACTCGGGAATGATACTTAGCCATGTCCCACCAGCATTGCTCCACCCCTGAAAACTTGAGGACAACTTATTTCCTGAAGGAGGAGTATGTAGCCCTGGTAGATACTAGCTGTAATATACAGCTTGACTTGAGAGAACTTCTCTTTAGCTCAATCAGCCGAGTAAGTCAGGAATCCAGGGTTTGAATCCTAGCACCGATATCTGTGACTTGATAGCCATGCCTATCAAGGGTCATGAAAGCATATTGTTTACATATTGTCAGGAAGTTACACATTCATTGTAATTGTGTTTTGTACATGTTTCTATAAATGACTGTATTTCTTTTACCTGTGTGGTTTACATGTATACATGTACCCATACTGTTGACCAGGAAGGGCAATCTATTTTAAACCACATTACTTGTGCAGCCAGTCCGGGTACCTGTCCTATTCATAGCGCACACTGGTCGAGAGGTCTTACCTGATATTAGTGAATTGTCTACGTTTGCGTAATGGAATACATTGTACTGTGTGCTATTAATGGCCACTGGTATGAAAGTTTTCTTCGTAAGTATTGTTCCTTCATTAGGTCAGACAGAAACTGACTATTCACCGGTTTTTTGACACTATGCGCTTATATTTTACACAATGTACTTGCTGTGTTGCAGAACTTCTGTCATATTCATATCTGTGCACTTAAATGCATACCCTTATTGCTAATACAGCTATTAAATTGCACATAATGTCTCCTCGTCCTTTTCCCCCATTCATATAGCCCCAAACAGATAATTGTTGACAATGCCTAACCTGCGTCATGATATTGCCCAATTTTGCCATTTCCTTAAAGAAAGTTGACTTACAACGAGAGCTGTGAGATTATCCCCTAGTTTGACAGCATGCGTTGCAGGTCTAAGGCCGTCTTTCCAAGTTTTCATATCATACAATATCATCATGTTATTAATAGATAGCCACTTATGACGTCCCAAGTTATTTGATTTATCGACTATTTTAACCTGCATACATGTTCAATCATTTGATACATTAGAATTTCTGTTTCAATATGACTGAGTAACATATGCTGTTTTTAAGTAGAGACATAAATATATATTTTATAAATGCCTTATACAGCTTGATCGTCCGGAATCCAGGAAACCAGCAGTTGGTAGGTTATGTAGTCGATAAATTGTACCAATACAGTATAGTAGATTCTGCATCTATTATTTAGTAGCTTGATCATTAGGTGGATAACGGAAATAATTTGCCACAGCCCTCGTGTTTGCACTTTGAACCAACAGTACCAAACGAATCTTAAAAACGACAACTGTACCTTGCTGGACATCGGACTTTAGACGTAGTTGCGTATTTCTATCTACTTTCATTTTCGCAAGGGTTACTGAGACATAAAGAACAACTTCGACTTATTATTCTATCTCCCTATAAACCTTTTTTTAGTTTTTTTAAGTTTAAACCTTTACACCCTTTCTCTCCGTTTTCCATGCACAAGTTATGTGTATTATTATTAATACTGTTCCATTGTTATTCTATAAATAAGGAGACAGAGTTACATAAGTACTTGTACGTGTTTCTGAATCGCACGTGGTCGATGATATATTTACAGCTCGGCACCACCCGAAATTGCCCGGGACAGTCCGCCACCTAATCTATTACTGTTTATGTGTAAAAGTCCATGTGCAGCTACTCAAGTGTTATTCAATATTTATTGGCCATTTTTCTAATGTGTAATGATATTTTAGTATAAAAAGACTTCTATTGGTCTGCGAAAAGAAACGAAGAGCGAAGGCCAGACAGGAGAGGTAATCTATTAAATTAGATCTGAAAAGGTCATGATTTAAAGCAAAGTCGGATAGTAAAAGGGAAAACAGATAAGCTCGTTAGTTGTATTCGAAAATTTGGCAAAGAATAGTTTTGTGCATCGTTAGTTCGGAGAGTACTTATCTGTATGGATGCATTGTTACATATATTTTAATTGTATTTTTAAAAATTATCAAAAATTTTCCAAGATATGGGTATTAGAAATTAGTTATGTTGCTACAATTCTCATAAATCTTGTTATTTGCAATGCAGGGACCGCCCGTGCTTTTTTTTTTTTTTTCACGTATCGTTAAATCTGCCTTATTCATATTCATGTACATAAAATGAATATCACAATCCAGAAATGATGAAAAATATTAATAATTGACAGAATTATTACTATTTGAAATCACCAACATCGCAAACATGTGCTCGCATCTTGTTTGCAATATCGTGACGGTCTGGGCTTTTATTTCTATTCACGTATCGTTAAGTCTGTATTATCAACATTCTTGTGAATAAAATTAATTTCATAATATAGAAATATTGAAAAAATATTTTAAATGGCCGCCCGGGCTTTTATTTCTATTAAAATTAATAAATTTGACAATTTTGAAAGAATGAGAAAATTGGTTATTGAACTGTTTCACACTCATGAATAATACCACTGATATATCATGAAATAATATTTACAAAATACACGAATCATGTACATTTAAAATCAGCATGATCCGCAACGAAGAGATTGGATCGCGTTATTTGCCCTATGTCTTGACCGCCACGGCTTTCTTTCTATCCTTAAATATTAACAACATGAACATAATAATAATGAAATGGTAACATTTTTTTAAAGTCATGATAGAAAAAAAAATTATTAAAAATAACAGAAATATTACCATTTAAAATCGTGGAAATAACAATGATGTATTTGGGTTGTTATTAACAATTTTGACCACTCGGCATTCATGTCTATTCTCGTATCTATATAACATATCATCAGAGACGTATATAACACTTGTGTTATTATATATGTCTCTGATGTAGTGAGCAAATATAAGGATGTGGGTGTTGTTCATAAGTGTGTATGTGAGTTTATACGTGTGTGTGATGCACGTGTATGTACGCTATGTAGTGTTACATATATATGTGTGTATGTGTGTGTGTGTTGTGTATATTTACAGCTGTGCGTGTATGTTTTGGATATGTTTGGGAGTGCGTATGTTATGCATGTGTATGCGTGTGAGTATGTGCTGTGAATGTAAGTGCGTGTATGCGCTGTAAAGTGTGAGAGAGGGTGAGTATGCGCGTGTGTGAGGGTGTGTGTGTGAGTGCGGTAAGTATATGTATATTTATATATGCACTTAGGTATTGACGAGTGTTTGTGTTTTGGATGTATTATAGCTTGTACGTGTTTGAAATTGAAATTCAGTTTATTTCCAAATGCAGTACAGCATATAGGATTTACAAATCAGGGTACACAACAATATCAATACAGTTTATGCAACATGACGGTGGAGAACACTACACACAATTAAAACGTAAATAATTTCATCAGGTATTCTCTATCGCTATATCAATTAATAACATTATTATTCCCGCCTGAACTGTGTTTTACATTTATACTAAAACTCGATATGTCGATTATCTCATTGCTTCACGTGACTGTGATTATCCGGCTTATTGCCTTTTTTACGTGTAATTTTTCATTTTTTTATGCTCACATCAAGGCTTATTTTGTTCTTTTCTTCTCACTTACGCAAATAAACAAAACCTTTTGCTGGTTTGCACAATGTCTACTATGTATGATACCGTTTCGCTATTTTGTAAACTTACGTCTCCGTTTATTTGATAATGGGTAATTCTTACACGTGTCACAGAATAGCGATCGGTATCTTCTATTCAAAGGTCTACGGTAAATGCGTTATGAAATCACTTCTATTTCTATCATTAAATCTCAGGTTAATTTTAAGCATGTTCGACTGTTGTCGTCTTTATCTTTCTTGGTCAATCTATAGTTTAAATAAATTAATGCTCTCCTGTTTTCAAAATTTTGAATTTTCAGTAATCTTGTTGCTACTTTTATTGCATATGGACATTGAATCCAATCCTGGCCCGGGGCTTAACGAGCTTTCGATTTTTCACCTTAATATCAGAAGTGTTAGGAATAAACTTGATTATGTAGAAGATATAACAGGTGAGTATGATATTGTATGTCTAACAGAAACTCATTTAGATGATCAGATACCTACGATATCTTACCACCTATTGTTGCAGATAATAACCGATACAATTTTAGAAATAACAATGATTATAGAGTTCCTCTATTTGGGCTTTCTCTAACAAACCTCTCTATTATATACCTTCTACGCTTCGTAGCTGGAACTTGTTAGGTTTCTCTGTACGGCCACTGCCTTCCATAAATTTGTTTAAAACCTCAATTACTTTAAATACACAACAATCCCCACCTATCTATTTTAGTTATGGTGAACGGAAGTTAAACATAATACATACTAAACTTAGACACAGTTGTAGTTCCCTTAAATACGATCTTTATCGAGTAAATCTTGCTGAAAATCCAGTGTGCTCCTGTGGACATCCTTGTGAGAATGCCTTTCACTTCTTCTTCGAGTGTCAAACTTTCAGAAATGAAAGACGCGCTTTGTTTCATAATCTGGCTGAATTAGAAGTAGATTTGAATTTAGAGCTTCTTTTGTTTGGTAGTATTGATCTTTCTGAGGACCTAAACTATTTTATCTTTACACATGTGCAAAATTTCATTAAATCCAGCAAAAGGTTTTAAAGATTCTGACACAGTGATGTATTTATGTCTGTGTGTGAATGCCTAATATGTATACTTTATGTTTAAGCCTATATCTGTATAAGCATGTATTTGAAAATGTATAATGGCAGAGGGCTCCAATAAGTTGTAATAACTTGTGCCCAATTCCCTTGTTCAAATTATTTTGGCAATAAAATATGTTTAAACTAAAAAATAAAAATACGCATTTACCATTATCGTTTTAACGATATAAAATTGTTTTAAACGCAGGGATAAATTATCTGAATCCACATAGAATATATTTCTATAAACAGCAATCACTGTAGAATATAATATTATTAGCATAAGCTTCCTCTCCTAGTAGAAAAACTCGCACTCGTTTCCAAAATACACATGTTAGACTTACGATCATGTGATATGTTTGTTTATCCTTAATTTTTTACATTTGTCTTTATTTTCAGGTACAGTTTCCGCTTGTCGGAGCCAATCATGGTTATCTAGGCTGATAATACTGATGAATTTAGAATATTACCTTTATGATCCTTGTTACTTAAATAATTTACTTAATATATAAATTGTTTAACAATGATGCCGTGACCTATTTATATATTATCCAAGTATATTTTAGTTATATTTCAGCCATTGACATTTAGATTTACATTGTATTTTATACGTTCATTGTGATGTTTTAAACGGATTTTTATCATTATCATTTTATTTACATTTGTCTTCATTTTCAGTTTTAGCATATCAGAGCCAATATGTTAATCCATTCAACTTTGTATAATGAACTGTATCAATGTAATGTTAATAAAATTTCATTATATAAATATTGCGTCATATTTTTTTGTGATGAGCAACGCTATTCAGTAGGTCTTGCACAAATTAAATGTAGTAAGTGTCCAAATCTCTAAGCCACTAAGAGTAAAATTGTCCGATTTTTATGTAATAGACCTGTCTCACAAATTCACAATACGGTACATGTATTGATGAAGTGTTTGGTAATTGCCGACCATCACGTACAAAAAAAATACACACACATACTCACACACAATAAAGAGACACGGTTTTACATCTTGTAGTCGATTCTAATATATATATTTGGTTCAACAAATTTACAAAGTTAGAAAACGCATACAATTTGTGCGTATACATGTATATCCAAAGTAGAGCTTTTCACTAACTTGTGAAAAGACCTATTGTTTTTGTTCGGTTTCTTATTATTAGAGCTTTTCACTAACTTGTGAAAAGACCTATTGTTTTTGTTCTTATTATAAGGGGTTTTCACCTTGTGAAAAGACCTATTGTTTTTGTTAATTTGGGCTT